CAACATCAAAGAGGTGTGCCACCACCAGAACCTGGAGAACTCCGGCTGGAGAAAAACGGGGTGCGCTAGGGCCTCTGCCAATGCAACGCCCCACGTTCCCCGGGGTCCTGACCTCATGCACCCTCTCCTGTCCCCTAAAGGAGCTTTCATTTCTAGGTTTGGTGTTCTGGGAAAGGCATTCCCACGGCCTGTCATGGGCTGTGGCTGAGGTCATTTTGTTTTAAAGTGTACAGAAATGACACAACTCTAGGGAGCAAACTCCCCGGGCCAGGGAGCCGCCCGCGTGGGGGACACGCTCCTTGTCCTGGGATTAGCCTATTAGCCTCTCCGGTTCAGGAAGGTCGCCCAGAACTCCCGCGCCGGCTTGCATTCTGGCTGCAGAGGCCGTAGGTGTCCCTAGCTTCTGGCTAAGGCGGACCTGGTCTGGGTCGCCTAAGGAGTCCTCAAGGCCTTAGGGATGCGCGTGACAATAACTGATGTTGAACCACAAGCCGATCAATGGCTACGGGTTTGGTTGGGGCCTTAGCGTTTTAATCATTCCAACCAGAAGTTCAGAACAAACTTGTGGTTTAAGACTTCCTTCCCTGACTCCCGGACTTTTTCCCAGGACTTTGTGGTTCCCCCGGCTGGGCTGGAGGAGGGTCCGGAACCTGCTGGGAAACGCACACCCCGCGCCGGCGCTGGTGCTGACGCGGGCGCGCGCACAGACACGCACACACTCGGACGCTCAGCAACCCTTTACCAAAGCCGTTCCCTCTTTCCGGGGAAATAAAAGCCTAGATTGGAACCTTCTGCCGGCTTCCTCGCTTGGCCGTCTGGTCTGCATTAGTGTTTTTATATGGGACTCAAACAAATCGAATACAAGGTCACCAAATAATTAACAGTTGTGAATTCCCTCCGTCCCCATTAAAATACTTCCCCGCTTATATTTCATTTTCCGTTTGCCAACGACAACAGGGTCCGGGCAAAAGCGCTGCTGCGCGGATTACAAAAGCGCTCTGCGGCCCAGGTCCACCCAGGAATTCGCTGTGAATGCGCTGTTTTGCATAAACTTGCTGTCCCGGGCGAACCTCAACCGTGAGGGAACTCTGCGGCCCCGTAGAATGCCCTCCCCGCAGCACTGCGACCCTGCAACGGGCCGGCCCTGCCCCCAGAGAATCACGGCCCAGAAGGTAAACCAAGAAGCCAGCAAACAATCAGCTTCACACTCTCCTGAGATTCACGTCTAGGGTGTTGAGTTCTCCGAGGATGTTCCTCTGATCTCCTTTTGGGTTTTATCCGTTCCCTACTGCCTCCTTTTTGAGCGCACTATCCTGACAACAACCAACAAGGACTTCTAAAGCGTATTCTTTCAAAATCACCTGGAAACCTAAGTCGCAGCCATAGTCTTAGCCTCGTTTTGGTGTCCTCATCCTTGGGAAGTGTGTTTGCCCCCCTTGTTGGAATTGTGTGGCACTTCTCACTACATAAACTGAACGTCCAGTTTTGTTTCTCTCCCTCCCTCCCTCCCTCCCTTCCTCCCTCCTTCCCTTCTCCCTTCTATCTCTCCAGTCACGTTGAATTCATAGAAGTTCTAGTTGTCCAACTTTCCCAGGCCCCGGAGTTCGGGGATCCAGGCTTGTACTAAGTTATATCGTGTTCTAACTGTAATTTCTCTCTATCCAGCCTGGTCCATTCTGATCCTATGACTCTACCCACACACACACATGCACACACACTTTATCATCTTTATAGATTCAAAGTAATTTAAAAAGAACAATGTGAAGGCATTTTAAAACATCAGGGATCACACAGTTTGTGCCCTGCACAAGGGATAGAGAGAGGAAACAAGGCAGACCCTTCAATCCAAAGTTCCCCTCCGACTGCTGGCTGGATCTTAAGAGCCGACGGAAGGAGATCTGTCCATTGTTGTGCTTCTGGCCACAGTCTTTTAGAAACCTCCCCACCCCTGTGCAGTGCCCTAGGCAAGCACAAGGGTCTAGACTAGAACCAGAGATGAGCTTCACCTCTCACTAGCGGTTCCCTGTCTTCCTGAATTCACCTGTAAAACAGTGATTGTGCCACGTTCCCGGAGATGGTGGTTAGAATGGAATAAAATGTAACTCGGGTGACAGGGTTTAGCCTAATACTTGGTACACAGCAAATGCTCAGAACATCTTGGTTGCTATTATTACCCCTAGATGTGCGCATAGCAAATCGAAAGGGGGGACATATTAATTTTTTTTCAAGTGCATTAAGTTCTCCTGGGGGCTCAGGGGTGGGGAGGGCGGCATGGGGGAGGTAGAACAAGTCTTGCTGTCTTAATAGACCCCAAACGCTCTTCATTCGCTGTGGAAGGCGTTCATCCCTGCTCTTCCGCTCTTACTCGCAAGCTTCAGGTGGAACGTCTGGGGTTCCGGATTCCCGGGCGAGGGAAGCTTTTTTGCCAGCGCTGCACGTGAATCAGCAGCGCTCGCCTTGCGCCCTGCGCGCCGGCTTCGGGATTCCTGCCATTTGCTTTGCTCCTCCCCCTGACCGACCCCTGCTCCTCGCAGCCCGGCCCGCCGCAGCCGATGGCGATTTAAACATCCTCCAGGCCAGGCGGCCAGGCCCCCGCGGCCCATGGGGTGGGGGCGGGGACGTTGGCGGGTCTGGCGCGGCGCAGAGTCCCCACGTGGGAGGGGCGGAAGTCCTGGCCAGGGGCCGGGGATGCGCGGCCGGCGGGTCCCTTCCATCACGGGAGACTAGACACCGTTTGATGTGTTATGACATGAACCCTCAATTAGATCGCTGAGTGGAAACACGCCAATCAGGGGCCCGATGCTAAGCAAGCCCCGGAAGGTCCGGCCCGAGGTCACCGCCGGTGACACATCAAATCAAAATCAGTGAGAGGGAAAGTGAGGCTTGCCCTTGATCGAGCCGGGGCCGC